GACGGACTGTCAGTCTGAATGATTACTTGAAGGACGGACGCACGGACGGACGGACTGTCAGACTGAATGATTACCGGACGGACGCACGGACGGACGGACGCACGGACGGACGGACGCACGGACGGACGCACCAACAAACGGATAGGCAGATATACAGATGGATAGATGGACAGGAAGGAATCGTCGACTTAATCAGTGACTGGAATAATTTATTAATGTTATCGACGCATTCCATTTTTTCAGCATAGTAAGCAGTATCCTATGCGGGGAAAATTGCAGAAAGTTTCTGAATTTTGAAACAGAAAGATTCCGCGTGCTGAACGCTGCAAGCACCAACAGAGACCAGGAGGTTCCCTTTATAGTTGGAGTTCTTGACACCCAACCAAAATACACTTTCAAAATTTACAAAGTAAATGCAAGAGGTCTTTGTTACTACGAATCGTCGTTGCATGTCTTATTTACCTAGCTTTCTATTTTTATTGACATGATTGTTATTTTGATGTTGTGTAGTTTTATTGCTGCCACTATTACTGTTGCTTTTGGTTATGATTGTTTTTATTATGTTATCGCTTCTGTTCTGGTCTCGTGGTGGGTCAATGGTCATCAGCATTGACCTCTAAAGTCTCCAGTTCAATAGACCATTTTTAGACGATTTCCAAAATTACTGCTCCGCTGTGTTTCTTGATTACAGACTCACTTGCACAGGGTTTTTTTGTTGTTGTTGTTGTTTGTTTTGTTTTTGTTTTGATATTCGGCTATATATTCTGATCCTTGTTACTCATTTGATATATCTTGTATTTCATTTGATATTTGTATCAATGTATACAACCTTTATACACTTATTTCAATAAAGTTAGTCACCTGAAAAGCTACAAAGCTTAGACCGACAAGGATTATGGGTAGATATATTTTACATGTTTCAACCGCTTGATAACTGTTGAAGGGCTTAAGATCTTTTACCAGTTACAGTCTCACCTCCTCTGAGCATCCTCAACTGCTGCAGTTTGTGTCAAAAGCTTTACTTGTTGGATAAAAAAGATTTCCCATGATTCTCAGCGATCACAGCTTTCTAGGTTTTGGGTGACTAACTTTATTGAAATAAGTATATATATATATATATATATATATATATATATAAGTCGGCTAAGCATCTGATACGGCTGTGTATTTTTACGAGTCACGGAGTATTTTGGCGAGCCTTATACAAGTGACGAGCAGAAATGCACAGTCGTATCAGTTACTTAGCCTACTGATAAGTTGTTTTTCATTTAATTCTGCAAAGAAATGCTCAATTAGGTTTATACAGTAGGAGAAATGTTAGTTATTTAACCATTGCTCATTCCCAGGCACCGGAACACGATGTTACATCCAGTAATACCACAAAGTCCACTAGTAAAGCTCGTCCTGGCGACACTGACTGGGTGACTTCAGAGGCTCTTAAAAGGTACGATTTAAAAAAAAGGAATAGTGCAGATTTACTATATACACCTATTTCAGAAATCGTTGTCGCACCAAAAGCCTTTAGCAACAAGCCAAGACCGCAGAGAACGCCGGTACTTTTAGCTGTAATTAGTTTATTCATGGTTAATTTTCATTTATTGACTTCACAAATTGCTCCAAGCAAGGCTGCTTGAGATGATAATTAGTGGAGAGCTATAGCCACTTGTATGAACCAAAAATAAATCAATTATAATTAAAAGTATACCCACGTTCTTTGGAGCCTTGGCTTGTTACATGAGGCTCTTGGTGCGACAACGATTTTCGAAATAGGTGTATAATTAGGAAACGACGCGAAACTGACACGAGTGAAAAACGTCTGCGCATGCTCTGAATCCGTATGCAAAATAGTCAAAACATACGTAAATTTGACTTTTAAACATGCCTGATAAATTGGACTTCACAAAATACCAAAACTAGTGAAGCTTAAGGCTAATTCTTTTATATTGTTTTTGGTAATACAGTATCCCTTGGTCTGACAGAAGGATACTCGCGAAATGTTTGGTATACTTGGAGAAAATATACATTTATTTTCTCACTCAAACTCTTCAAAATTCTTAGAAAACGTGCTGAAGTGCACGCATGCGCAAACGTTTTTCTCTAGTGTCCGCGAAACTATTGTTGGAAAACTCAAAAAAAAAAAAAAAAAGAAAAAACCGTCCAGCTAATTTCGCTTTCCTTAGCCCGAACACATTAGCCAATCAGGGAACATTTTGTTTATAGTTTTACCCTCGACCCTATACCATAATAGTTTTTAAAATTCTTTCATATTAAAATTTTTGATTCCTTAGATAATACAGTAACAATAGTCATAATTAAAGAACAAAAGCAGTGTGAAAAGGATTATGGTCTAGAGACGGGGGTAAAACGTCATCTCGCTCCAGGCTTATAACTGACCTTAACTGAAATAGACCTATTTAGCTTGGACTTTCCCATTTCAGATCACGTGTCATGCTGTAGAACAACATTTCTTTTTTTAACGTTTGCACATGAAATAAAATACACATGAATATGAATACGATGCAAACAAAGAATCTTATTCTCAAGAGAATGGCACGTGGTCTGAAAGTGGGAGAACATTACGCCCAAGGTAGGAGGTTTATATTACGAAATGAGTTAATGGAGAACTTGCGATTACTTACGTATCCAAACGTTTTTTTTCCAGAGACCTTCTCGGCGTTAATTAAAGGAAATTGAATCGTTATTCATTCAGTATTGCTAGTTTGATAGAATGTGATGATTGTAGCATGAATAGCTGTTAAACAATTCTAATAAAAGCATATATTCGAAGGCATCGTATGCAATAAAAGAATTTCCAATTATTTGAGGAGGGTGGGGAGGGGGGGGGGGAAGGGTTATAATTCCTAAAGAGTGGGGTTGGTATAAGAACGGTTTATTGTGTAGATCCTGAAAATACCTATACCTTCCCAATAGAGGGAACCATGATCACGTGATGCACAATAGATGCTACCGAGGTCGGCGAAGGCGGACAAGAGCACGTTTTTCAAGCTCTCCCCGTCATTTTTGTCTTGCCGTCCTCGTAAGAACGTCTGTTGGTGCTTTTTCACATCCATGTCAGAACTGCATGCAATGCCGCTAAACTACTCCCCTCATCTTCCAATTTTGCCGTCCTCATCATCGCGTCGTGGACCTTAAGGCCGTTTGACCTACCATTGGCTAGGTGGCAGACCGTATCTGACAGGTACTGGTAATTTGACATTAGAGTGCTACTACGGTCCAATTTTCGATTTTTCGCCATTTTTTGGAGCCACTTTTTAAAACTAAACTCAATGTCGCATAAACGTGCAAACTGCCGCCCAATATTTTGGCCATTTTGGCCACAAAATATTTCAMTGTCGCCTAATGTGGCCCAATGTTGGATTGTGTCGTGGCGAATGTGAGCCCCACAGTAGGCCTACGAAAATCCCAAGTGTTTTATTTTTAGTGTTTCTACAATCTCACTCTTTTAAACATTTACCTAACTATTCAAACCCAGTATGTGTCAAGTTCTCATGCACGCGAACATTTCACTCGATTGAAACACCATGGCATTGAGGAGCACTTTAAACGTATGGAGCTTTAATTTAGATCCCAAGCACCCCACGAAGGGAGGTCGGAAGTGAGACTTAAAAATAGCTCGAGACGAAACGTCTAAAACTGTGGAGTTGATGACACATGGAAGATAAGAGGATTTAAAAATGATTAAATTATCCCGAGGCCAATCTCAAAATCTCCCCGATTTGTCTTCCTAGACGTGAAAATATCGTACTAGTAGAGATATAGCCGGCGTGCGTGTGTACCCTGCGAGAAGTGGGGAACAAAAACAGGTCGGGGTGTTTTCATTCCCAATCAGTAAAGCCAGAACGGATCGGAACGCAGATAAAAAGACCTCTGCCCCTTTAGCAAAGCAATGGTTTTAAATATATCAACTTAAACAGTATACGAAAAGAGAAACTAAGAAAGGAGACAATTACCTGACAAATGTAGCCGGCTGGCACAAATTCAACTTGCCCATACTTCGAGCTATTATTATTTTTACACTCAAATTTCAAACCCTAAAAAACTTTTAATATCATTTGGGGATTTGCCTCGCCAACAAGAAGACTTGGATACGGTATTGCTTGACGAATAATAAACACTAAAATCTTTTTTTTCTTTTTAACAAACAGTGAAAAAGGTGTAAATAAACAAATTGTTGATGTTGTGAGAATATGGTCAACGAAAGAATGTCGTTCTCTAGGGTGTATGTCCCATCGTGGAACACTATTACTAATGATATGAATATAAATATTAGCGAAACTTGAACTTAGTTTACGTACCTTGCGAAGACTCATAGTTTTGGAGTCGAAAATGTGTAATATATTTTTCAAACAATTTATAAATATATATATATATATATTTCAATTTTGTGGTTGTTGTTGAATAAATTAGTTATTCACACGTGTACCCAGTCCCTTGCTCAATACGGAAACAGATCATATAGTTTCCAAATATTTTGTATATTCGGTGACTAACATATTTTCCTCACTACTGAAAACTCTCTGCAACCAGGGAAATTCGTTTCGTTCGGTCCCTATGAAGAAATATGGGTAAGCCCTTTACTTTAGACTATTTAACCATCTGATCTATGTAAATAAGATTCTGATCCGCGATCCTACCCATCTACATAATAATGCCTCTTATATATGTGATCTTGCCTAAATCAATAATAGAGTAAATAGAGTTTCCATTACAAAATATATACAGTCCTTTGACTAAACGTTGTCGTTGATCGGATCATCCCTACGCGCCTAGACCGAAAAGGATAACCGGTAGATTAACACGAATAATTAAATGTTTTCTATCAGTCGGTCGGTGACAATCGCACAATGGAGAATTTGCGCAAGGAAAACAAGAGCCGTTTCACATCATATTCCATCAAGGATGTCCCAAATATCGACAACGTACAGGCGCTAAAAGATTATCTGCTTGAGCGCTGTTCAGACGAGTTATCGCCGGCTACAGATAGTAGCTTCGAATTAGGTTACTTTGGGGATAAAAGCCAAAAATTTAGTATTTCCAGTCCAGTACAAATTGCTCCAGACGTTTTAGATAACATATGCGGCAGCTAGTAACTGTGAATTAACTATCCCTATGATCCTTTTCGGTCTAGGCGCGTAGGGATGAAGCGATCAAACGTTAACGTTTATTCAAAGGACTGTGTTTAAAAGATACGATTTATATTACGTTTAATAACAAAGTCAATAACGCGCGGCGCTAAAAGACCTGCCAGTTTTTCATTGTCCAACTTGTCTAATCAATCTAAAATCACTATTTATTAAATTCATTTGCACTATACCAATGTACAACAAAATCAAAAATGTTTCCATATATATTTTTAATATATAATCAATGAAATATTTTTTTCTCCATTACTATAAATAATGGTAAATTAACTTTTCTCATGCTTTTCTTTGGCTACTTTTTTCTGTGATTTGATTCAGTGTTCAAATGCTTGAACTTGACTTTTCAAAACATTGCGATTTAGAACAGAAAAGGGTTCGATTCGTGCTCAAATCGCACTGCTGAGAGCCAATCAGATTGCAGGATTTGCCAGTGATTTCAAAATGGACATAACTAAAAGTGATCATGAAGATATGATATCTTCACAGTTGAAAATAACACCGTTGCTAATAATTATAAGGAATCGCATTAATTAGTAAAAATCCACCAAAATTGTATTTCATCGATAATTATATATTAAACAGAATATTACATGCCCGCTTGAAGATGCGGATTTTACCAGCTCGTGTTGAGAATATGTAATGAATACGGTCATGTAATATCCTCTATCAGACATCGCAGTAGACCCTGAATTAAAAGCACGGGTAAAAGTCAATAAAGACGGCTTTAATGTTGAATTATAATATCAAGAAACCTATCTTTAAAGCTTATCTTTGCACTAAGGGTATATATATAGTCCATAGTGTGTCATAAACATTCTACAATATCTATAACATCGTCAGATTTATAGATTGGCTGCCATATATATATATACATATATATTGAAGCATAACGTGCGCGCTGATTGGCTGGCTACCGTGTTTATATCAGAGACAGAGACACGCTCACGCAAAGTTCTCCAAATTTTTATAATAAAAGCAATATAAAACGGCTGCTTATATCTCTGTATTGTGAATTAACACTCTTGGAGCTGTAGAACACTTGAAAAGCAAGAGAGACACTTGGCTATGCCTCGTGTTCCTAAGCTTGCTTCTCTCGTACTCTACAAGTCCCAGCGTGTTTATCGTACAGAGACATGGGCGCGCGTTTTACATTCCTTAAATAGTGCAGTTGTCGCATGACTGTGAAAAGCTCACGGCACGAACACGGTCGTGACACAGCTAGGGATAAGCCAGACCAATCACATTGCACGAGAATTCACTCTCCATCCAATCAAATACCCAGAACACCCGCTTGAACACGGCGTGGACACGGTCACGCCAAAGTCACGGCAAAAAAAAATCAGCAAATTAAAATTCTAGAAAACACAATTACTGTAAATTTCTAAAGAAATAACTATGTTCTTCATTCATGCTAATACACTGCTCTAAACATTATTTTGAATACAAGGCTAACTTTAACAATAAAGCACAAAATGAAAAAAAAAAACAAAAAACAAAAAACAAAAAAAAAACAAAAACAAAAACAAAAACAAAAAAAAAAGAAACCCCATAACTTTTCAATGCAATGTGAGGATTTTAATTAATCCACATTTTCATCACAGTTTGCCTCACAATAAAGGTAATTTCCAACATTATCTATCATGAAATAACTTTTCTTTCAATACGAAATCCAACACTCTTTCCCTACTGTTCTATATTCGTATAAATAGGCGAGATTTCTTTCAAGTTTTTGGTAACATTGTTCTTTTACGAGAGCTGAGAATTCGAAAAACCTAATGCTTTTTCTTTTTTGAATAAAATATAAAATTCTTAGTTGAAACACAAGTTTCTTTGTTTCCAATAAAGAAGCCGCGGTGTTAAAACCTCTTGTCTAGATATCTGTATCAGCCATCAACCCTTTTGCCTCGGGTGTTTGATCCTTTTCAGCTGGTGTTCCTTTTTTGGCCAAAATCGGAGACTCCTCGGGCGCCGATAAGCGTTCGGAAATTCTCTCTTGTGTCTTGATGTAATCTGTCCATGGAGAGACATCAGAACGGTTTTTCTCCGGCCTAAAAACTACGATGAACCATTTCGGAAGATACAAACAGGCAAAGATGTTTGAAGCATAGAAAAGATCCAAAAGGGCGAGCAATATTACCTTGGCATGAAAATGGATTCCAAAACTGACAACCACGTAGAAGAACGTAATGGTGTACCAATTAAACAATGCAAATGAAATCCACTTTACTTCCTTGAAGTTTTCTTCCGATAAGATTTCGTTTAAAGAGAACACAGCAACCAAGATGGCCAGGAACAAGGTATAGAAAAGTACGACTAAGAACTCGTGCGAGGAATGGTATGAGCATTCCAGGAATACAGTATGAGGGAGGTCGGTTGGAATCTTGTTGACTTTCGCGGGAATTACCAGGCCAAGTATCAAGGCCACGAAAACATGGCATAGAACAATAAAACAGACGATGCTAAACCTTGGAGTGCACATACCACTGCTGTTACTCTGATCCTTGCAGCGATTGTCGAAGAAATGAGACTTTGCAAGTAGTACAGCTAAAGGGATACCCAGTGCAAGGATGAAGAATACACGGTAACCTTCGCAGGATATTTCAGTTGGCCTGCCAAGCAAAGGAAATGGAAGTAGGAACATAATCACCATAAATGGCAGCAAGTAGGGAACGGCACTTTTGGCGTTCTTCATAATGGGAGTGTCAACGCTTCGAAACAGCACAAAACTAACATAAATACTAAAGCACAGGCCAACTACCATCAGAAATAAGATCACTAAACTTCCGCCATGTTCCCAGTGGACGTAGTCTTCAAAGTAAGGAACACAACCGGTTTGAGTCAAACTAACTCGTTCATTTTCAGGACACTTTTTACAATTCAATGCATCTTTTGTATCGGAATACGTATCCTTGGGACACCTTTGACACTCCCAGCAGCATTCAGCTCCAACTTTTTCCTTTTTCAATGCTCTGTATTTTCCTGTCGTACAAACCTCATGACAGCGTGAATCTTGTCTCTTGGAATGCCCTCCATGCCACTCAATTCTTTCTAAAGATAGTTTCAGTTTAGGTTCAACTTCTGGAGAATAGGCCCAAGTTCCGATATCCACTGCTTTAAGGTATTTGTTTAAGTCCGTAGTAATTCTACTATAATTCTGTTGATAGTTATAGATGTGGTAGAGGGTGTAGTTAAGGTAGCCCTTGGGCGTGAAGCTGATGCGACTTCGAGTCAAAGGATTGGTAAAATCCAATCGTCGAACAAAGTTATGAAACTTAGTAACATCTTCGGTGCAGTCTGGAGACTTCATACAGCGTTGCTTTTCTGCCAGGGCTTTTGCAATAGTAAAAACTGCATCAATCGTGCAAGCAGAATCTTCCACAGCACTGATCATCTTATCCACGGCAGCTTTAAGTTTACTCTGATCCATGCCACACATAGGATTGGCGTCGTAGTCGCAACTTGGAGCAGTCGTTGGAGCCGACGCGTTAGCAGAACTCGAACCATTAAGAGGAGGATTGCTCTTTGAAGCCAACTCTCGGAGCCAGATATTTTTAATTTTCTTTGTTCCGGATGACAAGCTGCGCAAGTGATCCACGAAACCAGTGGTACTTTTACGAGACAATATACTGAACATCCCTTGTGATGCTGAGTTTGGTYGAGGGATGGGTCTAGTGTTTGGCCAGGCTCGTTGTCCAACAACCCAAGTCAACCCCTTCACCTTTTGCTTCGACGCCTCTGCTAGGATTTTCTTGGTTAGCTCGTGGTTCGTCAGTGCAACAATAACAGTGTAGTTTTTTTCAGCGTTCATTTTCCTTACAAACTGAGCAATCTGTTGATCATTCGCGTAGTATGGCAGCTTATACGTAGCGCCTACACAGACATCAATGCTCTCATCTTTTAGTGCAGGCAACACACTGTCTGCTTTGTCGTCCGTGACTGCTCCAATGTAACTCCAGTTATTTTTAGCAATAAAACCCACCATCGACTTGATGCTTGTTCTGTCGGAAGGATAGACGTGGAAAATAATATCAGATTCTATAATTAAGTCATTATTCACTACTGATGTTGAGTCACAGCTCACATGAGTCATCTGTTGACTTAGCAGCAAAAATAGATTATCCTTCAGTCCGTTACCAGAAAGACTTCCGATCACTGCCATTGGCTTTTGACGAGGCTTTTTATGCGTTTCAATCARATCGAGCAGTGATTTATAAACTCCATCCTGAGCCGGATCCCTTATTTCGTACCCCAAAGTACCAYTAATCCCGAGCTCTTGAGCTTGCTTGTTAATACTTTCTACAGCATAAATTATAGCTTCAACCTTTAGAATTCCATTGATATCGAAATCACTACAAGACGAGTTCGCTGTCGGCACACAGATCGGTTCTATGCTCCCAACCACATTGTCACCTGGATTTCGCAGCATTTCTAATTTTCCTTCGACAGTTCCTCCTTGCAAGTGGCTAACGATAAATATCCCCGTTAATAGCAGAACGGTAACATATTCTCTGACTCCCATCGCGATTTCTTTAAAAGCTATTCTTCTGTTCATAGAATCTTAGCCACTCATCCACGACTCGAGATTGCTCACCGACCCGAAGCTGAAATTAAAAAAATAATAACAGTGAATGTGATTATATATAGCACAACAAATACACACCAGTAATGAATTTAGCGCTCGGCAAGTTTGTATGTGCTAAGTACTTGTTATTCAAAGGCAAATACAATCGCAGAGACATTAAAGAGACTTTAAATAGGGCCATTACCAAGTTTTCTGTTATATATATTAGCACTGTTTCTGGAATATACAAAGAATATGATTTGGCACTAGAGAATACGTGGCGTTGGTGGTTCCCTAAACACTGCTGGCCGAAACTGAACAGCTCTCGTATTTACTTCATCAGTGTGACTGTAAAGGAGACCTTCTTCAAAATGAATGATTGTAAAGGCACAATCGCGTTAACAGTAAAGTCCAAACAAACGGTCAAAGAATAATTATCATAGTACGAGATCTCTCTCTTAGAACTGTTCGCAGCTGCGTATAATACCCAATATCCATTCTATAAACTTACATAGCAAAAAGATTTCAGCTTCTTGAAAGCAATCCTTGTCGAATCGATGAAATAATTAAGTAAAATACAACCGAAGAATCGACCACCAGAAGAAAGTGGTCAGTATAATAGCGGATGAATTTTACAATCTTCAATGACAGCGTGACAGCGTAGAACACCTCCCATCGCGATGATCCTTTGAATTATCACTTCAAAAATCCTTCAATCTCTTTTCAAAGGTATTGTACTTTGTCACCTCTACGGCTCTATTAACTGTTTGGTGATTAAATTAACACTAACATAGATATGTGCAGATTTAAGAAATACATAGAGGATAATTTGGTTCGTAAATTCGTCAAATCTGACTAGAATATAATGAAGTCTTATTACATAGAAATGTATTTGAAGTTAGGAATATATTATAAGGCAAAACCGACACCAGGTATTTATCAGATAATCTTTGCATATCGTTAATTTTTGACAAGTGAAAGAAAGAATAAAAAAAGTGAAAATTAATATATTTGACTATTTGTTTTTTACTCAACGTTAGATGGGAAAGAAGTTTGGATTATTTGATCTGTATTGTAATGCATTCAACTGAAAAAAATAATTTTTTTTTGAATTTTCTTGATATTGATTTTTTCTGTTTTCTCGAATTGGATAAGTATATTTGTTATACAGTTTACAGATATTTCTACCAAAACTATTGAAAAGGCAAATTATAACTTGCAATTGAAGTGACATTTTTATTCGAGGACTTAAAAAATTGTCGGGGAAAAAATCCTAAGATAATCCAAAAAAGATCTATTCATAGAAACATCGAGCTATTTTTTAACCCCTAAGATGTTCATGCTTCAAAAGCGTACTTTAAAATAGCCTTTTCTTTTTCTTTAACCTTTCTTGAAAACGAAGTTCTAGTCCCTGAGGCCATAAAAATGAAGTACAAATTGCTCAGGTCTTGTGTCTCCAAACACGGTTTTTCTTAAAGCGATTAGAAAAAAGAGTAAGATTAAGGAAACAACTTTTTATGTTCTAAGTTCAATATTAAAACTGCTATTTACTTAAATTTTATCAGGTGAAATCTTGCTAATATTTTAGTCACATCGAAATTATGCAGATGATGAAAAACCTTCCAGTAACGTGTTAAAAGAAAAAAACGAAAAATCATGTTGGTTCATGTTGGTTTTTCTTTTGATCCGACAACATATCTTTTAAAAATCTCTTGACATCGTACTTAATATTAGTTCAGTTATTTCGATCTTCTAGTGCTACGCAAGTGTCACGCAATATATATTTATATACAGCAAAATGCAGAATATAATCCTTTTGTATATGCATAAAAGTATATCAAAAGTACATAAGAGGTTATGGGAACCATCTCTGATATTTTTTCAGAAAGCCCTAGTGATAGGCAACCCGAAAAAAATATCAGCGATGACATCCCATAATTTCGTATATACTTTTGATATAATTGTATATATGTACAAAAGAATCAGAATTTCTGCGTATCGCTATATATATATATATATCATTTTATTTTCGTTGAAGAGTCTTAAAAATCCAGTCATGCAGGCTTAGTCTGACTTCTGAGATCGGAAAACAAGAGAAGAGTTTAGATTAACATTCACAAAACACAAAACGCAGCTCCAGCAGCTCCTGGATATGAAGCCCTCATACACTGGCCTTTTAAGTGCCTTTATTTCGTCTCTTTATTTATTTTTCATCACACCTAAATCTATTTGAAATGTACTTTAGTCTATAGAGTGCAAACAATATATCCGTGAAATATTAGTAATACTATCTTGCACTATTTTATGCTAATTCTATTGTTTTCTTTTGTTTAACTAGCACTATTTTGAACAATTTAGTAATTAGTGTTTCACGGATATATTGTTTGCACCTTATTTATTTTTAATTTTATTCYATGCATAGAGTGACCTCAGTAAATCCGTGAAACACTAATTACTAAATAGTACAAAATAGTGCTAGTTAAACAATAGAAAACAATGGAATTTGCATAAAATTGTGCTATTTAGTATTACTAAAGTTTCACGGATTTACTGTGGTCACTCTATTTAGTTGACTAATATTATTTCTTAGTACTAGATAACTAAAGACTGGTCAAGAATTCATTATAATCTCATGATATTATATGTGTACTGCAGCAAAGGTGCAATAGCATCAATCAGCACAATTCAAATCGGGATCTTTTTTTAAAACTAATTACGATTAAATAAATATTTAGGTTTTGAAAACCAAAGCTTTTTATCACTTATCATTAAGGAGTAGGTTGAACTTAATAGGACAATTTTATATTTATAATACAAGCGACATTTATCACGAAAAGCTAATCCAGAAAGAAATTATGACTAAATGAAGAAAATCTGTTATTAACCTTAAAATAATCGTACCTCTATTATAGGAAGTCCTTCAAACACAACAAAGGGAGTTCAAGGGACTTCAAGAACATGTCTATAAACAATTTGAACTTCAGTTASGAGGACAGATAGTTTAGTGTAATTTTAAAGATAACAAAGGGGAAGCGTCTYTTAAATTGTCATTATTTTCCAATCTGCATAAAACACCTTTCAAGGCGCGACAAATAGATCGTGTGAATCACTAAAACAGTGTGACAAAGTGACGATGAAAAAGCTATAAATTCTGGAATAATAAAACRATTTCAAAAATTAAAACCGAATCGCTTCGCTTTCGCTTGGAAAAAAAGGCAAAACCTTCAGCGCGTGCGTGAAAAATAGATTGCGTGATTTACTCGAAGCGTGACAAAATGGCGACGTCGATACAAGTAAAATTAACGATGATAAAATAAAGCGAAACATTCAYCGAGAAAGTTCTATAACAACGCCTTCGTTTCTAAATAATTAGCGTAYATACGAGACAGCTTGGTATAATAAATAATATTAAACAGCGTCGAAAATAAAAAAAGACAGCGTTTCTCACAACGGGAGAAATTTTCCTCGCTGGAACGTTCCAACTTTTTATTCTGCTAATGTTGTATCTTCTAAGTCTTGACTTTTTGTAATAATATAAAACAAAATAGTAAAAATATACAGCTCTTTTCCTTATGAATTCGATTCTAATTATGCGTTTAATTTTGACAATTTGTATGCAGAAAAATATAATGAATTGAAAAAGTCAGGTGGTATTTTCATAGCACGAGCACGAGATTTGGTATTTCTCACCTATGATGCGAACTAAAACATGCGAAAATAAATAATACTTTAGCTTTAGAAAAAATCCAATAAGCTGCTGTAAAAAGGCAGGGATAAAAACTGCAACTCGAACAGTGTTAACTACGTTTCTTAAACTCTTTTGCAACGGCAGTAGTGGTCAAGATGGTTATCGTTAAAGCTGTATTTATCTATGTCATCAGTGACAATTCTAGACTGAATTCYAGCTTAAAGATGGATATGATCCTCGACAACTCACCTATATTTTTAATCAACGGCTCCAGCATAATTTTCAACTAGTAGCCATGTTGTCTCTATTGTACGACTAGAAGAGGAAGTCCAGAGAAAAAAAATTATTTTAGCATGAAATTTCGAGTCTCCCACGCATATGGGATCTATTGCATTCGTTGCCATGGAAACGCTACATTATCATTAATAATTTTTTGAGATAGAGGAGATAACCATTTGCTCAACTCCCGCCGATTAATCAGGAAATCAAATAATGTTAAGGGGGAACAAATTAAGAAATTAAGAAGGAGAATAGGTCGAAGAAATTCTGCTCTGTTCTGTTCTGTTCTTTTCTCTCCTCTCCTCTCCTCTCCTCTCCTCTCCTCTCTTTTTTTATATATTCTTTCTTATCTTCCTTCCCTCCTTCCTTTTTCTTCTTTCCTTCTTTTCCTTCCTTTCTTTCTTTCCTCTTACGCTTTCTTTTCCCTTGTTTGAAATATGCAAATTATTTACTATCGTACAACAGAGACTCGAGAAATAACCTCGCTCAAACTTGATTGGTCAATCCTTTACCATTACAGCACACGACAGGCCTATCGTAAAATATATTTTTAGAGAGGTTGTGRATATTGAATAGACCTATCCCGCATTCGCTTGACTGATCACAAAACAATGGTTTCAAGTCGAGTTTSAACTTGATGAATAAAAGAATCAAGTCCAGTCYCGACTTCAAGCTATTGTTTCGTGGTCATCCAAGTGAATGCGGGAAAGGTCTATTGCATAGCGCTGGGAACAGCAGCTCGAGTCGTCGCGGTGAAAGTTATGACGAGAGTCTTTTAGAAGCCAAAACCAGGCTAAACCAACACATTTTCCCTATTTTCTCTCTTTCTATAAATACAGAATACTTTACTTTAAATAGTGAATTGAAACTCAARTCGTCACGGTAAATTATAATTAGAAGACAAAATCTACACTTCCTTTCGATAGCTTTTTTCTATTATGCTAATTTTCACTTATTGTCTTGGTATTCTMAAAGGAAATTTYAAAAAAWTTTTTAAAACATTTGAATATGAAAAGAGATTGTGGATAGGATTGTTGAAGTGTAGGTATGAAACGTCATTAGTGTAAAGGGTCTGTTGACCGTCATCAGTACTTATAAAAAGTAATTAAAAAAGCCAGAAGGTTTTATCAGTGCAGCCAACACAAGTCAATATTTTTTTCCTGTATTGATGGGTTGCAAGCATTCGCAAGAGAGTCAAAAGACAAAAACATGACGGCCATTGTGGTGCCGTTATTGACAATGGATGGTAATGAAAAATGTTTTGTTAAATGGCACCAACAT